CACGAAATTAATGGGCATTTTTATTGATGTTGCGTTGGCCCATAATAAAATCACCATTTTGAAATGAATCTACAAGCCCAGAACTTGTGCATAAGAATTTGTCCGTGTAATATTATTACAAATATAGAATCCCATGTGATGCTTCAAAACTCATATTGGCACTGCTCTTTATTTGATTCGAATTGAATTATAATGATAACATGTCTATATAACGATAAAATAATATAATAATTAAGAAAATAGAAAATATACTAAAAAATAATATTCTATTGAATGAGAATTTATCACATTAATAAGTACTATATATTTTCGTTATAAATATTTGACGCATATATTACTATTTATATGATATGAACTAAGTCTAATAATTCAAAATAATTATAATAATTCAAATTTTCTCTCACAAAGTAGCAAGAAAGCCCAGACATATCCCATACTTCTCGCTCCCACCGGCCGGCTGATGGAAATGGACTGACTACCAGAGATATTCGTGTGACTTCGACTGCACTTGTTTGTACACGAATGTGTGAGTTATACCGAGTACTCAGTAAATTATGGACAACTGAAAATCTTCGTTTTCGAGAGGGATGATCAACTCCGCAAATATCGATCGAAACTTGAACCCGTGTATAGGTATGCAATTTGAGAAAGCACAACAATGGAAATGGGTAGTCAGTATTGGTATCAGATCTATTCCCATGTTCCGATCTTTTCATTTTATGTACCCATTTCTTGGGAAAAGTCTGGCTGTAAGAGTTTCTATGCCAAAAAGTATAAACGGAGAAGTAGATGAGAATTTTTTTTACTAACAATGGCGACACACATCATCCCCGACACCATCACGTGGTAAGAGTTAGGGTTAGCACTGGCCAGTGGGATAAACACTTGGGTGAATATTACTTGCTTACGAATTTCACCCCGCTTCTTTTGACTTATAAGACTACAAATTTGTTTTAGATTGAAATGCATTTTCTATAGAGATCTCATTCCGCCTATTAAAACTTTCTCATGTGCTTTAAGAGAGTCCTTGAATTATGTTGGTGAAAAGGATTCTATATTCATTGATTCTTCAATTGCATAAATTATTTTATCAAAATTTTTTTGTACATGAAATTAGTTACTTCTTAACTGTTTCCTTGTCAAAAATTGCAACTTCATAGGATCCCATTTGGTAACTATTTCTTTTATTCTAGAATAATAATTTTTTGCGGTCTCTTTATCATTTATTTTAATATTCTCAAAATCTCATCTTAGATTATGCAGCTTGATGGCGTATACTTTTCTATTTCCTTGAAACTCCTCTTGTAATGTAAATCATGCTTGTTTAGTAGTCGTTATGCCCATGATTCATGAAAAGATGTCATCTGCCATTGCTTTTTGTAAAGAAAATAATGCTTGAGAGTCATTTTTGTTGTTTCTCTTCAAGCGCCTTCTTTTGATTTGTCAAAAGAGTTGTCGAATCTTCTAGAGTATTGCAAAAATCATAGTTTTCTCCACTAGAGATTGAAATCGGGATGGTAGAGCAGTTAGAAATGTTCATTGAATTTTAGACAATATTTCTACAACGCCTAATGAGTGATCATGCGATGCTCTGATACCAAATGTTGAAAATATTTTGAAAGAAAGGTAGATAAGTAAGCAACCGGTTATGGAGAATTTTAGGTGGAGAATAGAAGAATTTTATTACAAAACTTTTGCTAAATAATTTTAAGCTTAACTTAATTACAATATGGAGACTTCTATAACATAGCAATTCTAAAGTCTTTTTTATTTATTATAATTATTCTAGATCCTTCTAGAAACACCACTTTAGAGTCCTCTTTATTTCTTACAAATACTGTAGAATATTTATCTATAAACAAAACTCTAGTATATATAGAATACTATAAAAATCTTGAGCTACAAGGCGAATCTTGCCATGAGCAATGATGCTTGCCATCAAAGTTTACTTGATTTTGAATGTCCATTGGAAGTCTATGACGATTTTATTGCTCTTCTGTTTTACTGCCCTACCCGTTTATTCCTACAGCACTCTAATTCTTTCATTTTTTTCTTCCCAAGGAATGATAGAATTAGATACAAAAATGATATCAACATGTACCTTAAATGAAAATACTCCTCAATTTGAGCGTTCATTGACAGCAGGAATTAAGAATAAATAAAAATAATTGCCTGTTAAAACTGCCTGACAACACTATAAAGCGGTAGGATGCGGAGAAACTACAGGTTGGAAAGATGAGGATGAGTAAACATCATAATGACGAAACAAGCAAAAAAGTAAAAGCAGCAGAAAAGTAAATGACACAAGGATCAACATCGAAAAACTCAAAATAGGAAAAAAAAACTATGGTGAGCACTACATCAAGAAATTAACTATGAAAATTGGGAGAAATAAGTATAGATCTTTCTTCTATCTCACTCTCTCCTTGTTTCTCTTCTTACATGTACCGTTCTCAAACTTGCCATAACTAAAAATACAAGAGAAAGCCAAGTAAAATAACTCAAAGGGATGCAACCCTTCAGAAAACGAGAAATAAAACTGTCCAGTCCGTCTCGCAGCACTACAATACCAGTTTTGAAGCGTTGCAGTGCTCAAGCCTCTGTCTTGAACATCTGCGGCGCCATATCTTGGTTGTTGCGGTGCTCTGCTATCTGTCGTTCAGCGCTGGGCCGCTCGGGAACGTTGTGTCGGGGCGCTCGAGAATACAATACCGGGGCGCTTAGGTACTCAACGCCTAGGAGTTGCACCAAAACCTAAGCAAGGGGTAAACCCCCTGTACCCCCCAATATATACAATAAGCTCTGAGGTCCGAGACAACATAATAATCAGATTAATCAACACAATCAAATTCCACACATGACAATTCATATAGCAATTATTACTTAAAATTAAAGTTACTATAACTTTTAATAAAATTCGTTTCTAAAATTTTTAATGTAAAAAATAACTAAGGGTTCGTTTAAGAGAGCTTCTTTATTACTTTCTAAAGCACTTTTCAAGTACAAGAATATCTTAAAAATAATGAAAAAGTAATGATCAAATGCCATTCCAAATAGGAACTCTTTTTTACTGTTTTTTAAAACAAATTTTTAGTTCAAAATGATTTTAACTAAAAAATTTTGTATTGAAAAACTTTTTTAAAAAAGCAATAAGAAAGCCGAGGCCAAATAAGGCCCAAGTTATTTTAAGTACAAAAAGCAGCTTTCCACCCAATTTTTTTAATACCGTCGTGATAAAATAATATCAAAATAAAATTATAATTGCTTGAGATAGAACTTTCCCAAACAAATTCTAAGCCATTTTTTTTCATAATCATGACCCGATTAACGTACGTGAGAAAGATCCTCTTCATATTTGGCTAGTCGGATAAATGCCCGCCCTTCCTCTTCTCATAAGGATCAAAATCCCTTCTATAGTTGATTGTTGCCTATGCACTTCTGACTTCACTATTTTTTAAAGTAATTTTTTAGTAAAAAATTTTTAATTTTAAGAATTTTATTTTTAAAATCATTAAAAAACTGTCCTAAATAAAAATTGAATTAAACACTTAACTTATGCCCCATCACATATCAATATAATTAATCTAAATTTATGAGTAGCTGGCATATGTCAATTTCAGCCCTCTATTACGTGAGATCTTGAGCTCTTCGAACAAGTGGAAGAAATCCTCACTAACAACAATAGTGCGATGATGCAGCCCCAACTTAGGCTTCATTTGGATAGTTCTTGTTGCGGGTTAGAAAATATGTGGTGATAGTTATAATTCCACGTCTTAGTATTGTACGGATATCCAGCTCACATATTGATAACACAAAATTTTTTTATGTGGAAAATATTGAAGAGGGAAAAACCACGGGGTTTGGCCAAGTTGAAAATGACTTCACTAAAATTAGAGTAGATTACAATGGGCTGACTCATCCTTCAGAGATTAGATTACAAATGCCAACAATATGGTTGAAATCTAGTGACAAACGGGGATAAAAATATGGCGTCACTTGGTGGTCCTGCAAAACTTTGAGTGTCAGGTGGTGGTTTGGTGGAACTCAGGTCGTTGCGTGGTGGTCTGGCAGAACTCAAGGTGTCCGGTGGTGGTTCGATGGAGCTCAGGGCGTCAGGTGGTGGTCCAAGAAAATTTCAGGCGTCAGGTGGTGGTCCGACGGAGTTTAGGGAGTCAGGTGGCTGTCCGGCAGAACTCAGGGCGTCAGGTGATTATCCGACGGAACTCCAAGCCCCAAGTGGTGGTCTGGCGGAGCTCAAGGAGTCAGGTGGAACTCAGGGCATCATGTGGTGGTCCGACTAACTCCATGCGTCAGGTGGTAGTTCGGCTAAGCTCAGGGCGTCAGGTGGTGGTTCGGCGAAACTTCAGGGCATTAGGTTGTGGTCCGGCGGAACTCAGGGCGTCAGGTGATGGTCCGAAGGAACTCCAAGCTTCAAGTGGTGGTGAGGAGTGATTTGGATGGAGGTCAATATTGAATTACTTGATTGTAGATCGTTTACTATACATTTGAAGGTCTTAATGATGTCGGAATTCAGTGATCTTGGGCTCATTCGATTCATCTCATCGAGCCGCTAAATTCAACTATAAGAATGTTGCTTTTGAAAATCATTTGGTCACCCAAATTATGGTTCTAATTGTCCAATAGTTCTTCGGGCCCTTGATTAGGACCCATTTGGGTTCGAATTGAGTCAAATTTGGTGTCATTTGTTTCGTATTTTTGAGATGTTCAGTTCGACTATGTCAGAACAGCAACTTTAGATATTAAAAATGTCTATTAATATATTTGTATTCTGCTGTCCAATAGAAACAAAACACGTGTATAGCTAATGTTCTCCATGTCTTTATATACCCGTGTAATAGATTAGCTGAGTAATAAAAAGTTTTACATTCTTCCTTCTTCTCTGTAATGTGTCATCTTCTTCCTTCTTGATCTTCTGCTTCATATCCTGATATTCAACATGGTATCAGAAGCGGTTTGATTCTCTGGGCATAGTTTTTCGCATGGCTTCTTCGTCATCCACCACGGCGATCGCCTCCGGCGACAAGTCCGACAAATTTTCCCTCTATCCCTCCCTAAAATTTGTTGTTTCCAATTTAAAATCCTTGATTCCTCATCATCTCTCTTCGGAGAACTATCAGATCTGGCGAAATCAGATACTCAAACTATTCAAGGCTAATGGCTTTGAGGAGTTTCTTGAATCAATGTCGGCGTCGACTTTGTCTGGCCACGATCAAAATCAAGAAAATGAAGATCCAAATGTTCGCAATGCAAACTGGATCCTTACAGACCAAAATCTCGCGGCAGCCATTTGCTCTACAATATCAGCTCCGGTTCTTCCATATATTATGCATCTAGAGACATCTGCGGAAATATGGCAAGCGTTGCAAACACGGTTTCAGTCGTCGAGTAGATCAAAGGTGATTCAGCTCAAAAATGAGCTACACAACCTCTCTATGAACACCTTATCTATGCAGGCTTATCTTGCTGAAATCAGGAAACTCGTGGACAACATCGCCTCCGCTGGTGCCAAGATGGATACCGAAGACATCATTCTTCATATCATGAACGGCCTGCCTGCCTCGTATCAATCGTTCAAGACTTACATCCGAACAATGCAAACTCCGCTCACTCTTGATGCGCTCTATGCTCTACTTATCTCTGAAGAAATTCATGTTCAAGCGGACTCTCAACGTCTCGCTATTCCTCAAGATACCCAGACTGCTCTCTACTCGAACAAGGGTAGAGGACGCCGAGGCAGAGGACGTTCATCTCAACCAAATCAACCTGTTCATAAATAGAGCACCAAATCTTCTCTCGTCTGCCAAATCTGTACAAAAAGGGGACACACAGCTGCTATCTGTTGGCACAGACACAATGCCAACTACGTTACTCCAAGAACCACACCAGATACAAGTAACGCGCTTCTTGCCACGTCGGAATCATCCTCTACAGACTGGTATTTAGATTCGGGCGCCTCATCTCACATGACAAATCGTCTTGATAATCTTACGCAAAGCTCGGTCTACAATGGTTCTGATCAGGTAACAGTGGGTGACGGCAGATCGGTTCCTATAGCTCACTCTGGGACAGGTCTGCTACCCACGTCGGATCGTAAGCTTCGTCTCTCAAATTTACTTCATATTCCATCCATCTCATATAATCTCTTGTCTATTTCCAATTTGGTTAAAGATAATCAAATCTCTATAACATTTGATCCTAATGGCTATGTGTTTAAGGATTTGCAGACTCAAACAACTCTGTTCAAAGGACCGTGTAGGAACGGTCTCTACCCACTCTCATCCTCTTATGTCTCGCACTAGCATCAAGCTCTCTCGGCAATTCCTCAACGGGCCATCAACTGGCACTTCAGGCTTGGTCACCCGCATAGCCGAACGTTGCAAGCTATTTCCACTAATAATCCTCAGTTACACATACCGCATTATGTTTCAAATTGTAGTTGGTGTAAAAGTTGTAAAGGTCATAAAATGTCTTTTGTCAAATCTATACATAGATCTACTAAACCTCTTGCTCTTGTTCACTCGGATGTTTGGGGACCATCTCCGGTCTCCTCGCATTAGGGTCTGCGTTACTATCTCATTATAGTGGACGATTATTCTCATTATACCTGGATTTTTCCTTGCTTACTCAAATCTGACGTTTCACAGCTGTTTATGAATTTTATTCTGTTTATTGAAAACCAAATGGATAGCAGAATTAAAGTAATTCGTAGTGATGGTGGAAAGGAATACGTCAATAATACATTTCGCAAATTTCTACAATCAAAAGGTATTCAACACCAAACCTCATGCCCGTACACTCCGGAACAAAACAGAGTAGCTGAACGCAAGCACAGGCATGTGGTGGAAACTGCTCGGACTCTCTTACACACTGCCTCCATGCCACTATCATAATGGCCTGAAGCAATCAATACAGCGGTCTACATTATAAACAGGCTCCCGTCTCCAACTACTAACAATATACCTCCTCTCAAACTCATGTTTAATATCACACCTGAGTACTCGCATCTAAAGACATTTGGATGCGAGTGCTTTCCTCTTCTACCACCTCATACTCGCACAAAACTTCATCCTAACTCTGTATCTTGTAGTTTTATAGGTTATATCGATACGCAAAAAGGATACCGGTGGTTAAACAAAAATACTAATCGTATCTACATCTCTAGACATGTTCAATTCTCAGAGGATTCCTTTCCCTTCAAGCAAAGCGTCACTACTATACATCAACAAGCACAGCATGTTCCGGCTCCACTCCTTGTTCCAATTTCAACACTTCAGCAAACTAATACACCCTGCCAAAACACATCAGACAATGCTCCTTCCATCTCTTCACCTCATTTACATACTGACTCTAGTAACATATCCCCTACGTCTATACCCTCTGCTCCGAACACTAGTACCAGGGAGGCAGTCAAACATCCCATGCTCACTCGAACACAAACTGGATCACTCAAACCAATTTGTCGCCTTAATCTTCTACATTGTGGCGAGTCGGCTGCTACAGCACCTACACCAACTTCATACAACACAGCCAGCAAGCACCTGGAATGGCGTAAAGCTATGGCATCCGAATTCTTGGCTCTTCAACAACAGGGTACATGGCGTCTGGTTCCTCCGCCTTCTAATGCATCTATTCTTGGCTGTCGATGGACGTTTCGCAAGAAACTCAATGAGGATGGATCTATTGCAAGATTCAAAGCGAGGTTGGTTGCTCAAGGCAATCATCAAGAATTTGGACTTCACTACGGCAAGACATTCAGTCCTGTTGCCAAGTTTCCAACCATCCGAATCCTCTTCACCGTGGCACTGTACAATGGCTGGCAAGTTCAACAATTGGATGTGTCCAATGCATTCTTGCATGGTAATCTGGAGGAAACAATATTCATGAAGCAACCGAAAGGATTTGAAGACACAACACATCCAAATCATGTGTGTCATTTACAAAAGGCACTCTATGGTCTAAAACAAGCTCCAAGGCAGTGGTATACCACATTTACAACCTATCTGATCAGCATTGGTTTTACCCACAGCAAAGCGGATCCTTCCCTCTTAACGCTTCATCGGAACAGCACTCACATCTACTTGCTCGTCTACGTAGACGACATATTAATCACGGGAAGTGACACAGGCGTTATTTCCACGCTTATCCAAAGTCTTGGATCCCGATTCACGCTCAAACAACTGGGTCATGCGAAGGATTTTCTGGGTATGCACATACAATCCTCACCAGATAAGTACTTCCTCTCTCAATCTAAATATGCTTTGTCTCTTCTTGAACAAGCAAATTTAATTAATTGCAATCCAATTGCCAATCCCTGCTGTACAAAACAGCCAGCTGCAGCTACTGCTGATGCAACTCTCTCCTATCCTTACATGTATCGCCGCCTGACTGGAGCATTGCAGTATCTGACTCTAACAAGACCGGACATTGCATATGCTGTTAATGTTCTATCTCAGCACATGCATGCTCCGGAACCCTCTCACACTCTTCTTCTTAAGCGCTTACTCAGATACATCAAAGGAACGGTATCTTACGGATTACCGATTACCAAGACAAATCTTCAGCTTCGCACTTTTTCGGATGCAGATTGGGCGGGTGATGCTCTCACTCGCAAATCCACCTCAGGATTCTGCACTTTCTTAGGAGATACACTTGTTTCATGGACGGTAAAGAAGCAAACGACAGTCTCACGCTCTTCCACTGAGTCCGAGTATAGAGCTCTTGCGGCAGCTACCGCTGACATCATATGGTTAAAACGACTGATTGCAGATTTCAACATCTCTCATAAGGATCCTATTGAGGTATACTGCGACAACACCTCAGCAATTGCATTAGCAAACAACCCGATATTTCACGCAAGGACCAAACACATCGAAATCGATCATCACTTCATACAGGATCACATTCAACAAAATACAATTCGTTTATTACCTATTAGCACAGTAGATCAAGTGGCCGATATTTTCACCAAGCCATTGTACACATCAAGATTCAAGACTCTCAGAACCAAACTAACAATCACTTCGGATTCGTTAGTTTGCGGGGGGCTGTCAGAACAGCAACTTTAGATATTAAAAATGTCTATTAATATATTTGTATTCTGTTGTCCAATAGAAACAAAACACGTGTATAGCTAATGTTCTCCATGTCTTTATATACCTGTGTAATAGATTAGCTGAGTAATAAAAAGTTTTACATTCTTCCTTCTTCTATGTAATGTGTCATCTTCTTCCTTCTTGATCTTCTGCTTCATATCCTGATATTCAACAGACTATAAGTTTGTTGAAACCAGAGTTCTGATAGTCCCAATTTTAATTTTGGAAGTTTCAAATTTGATTTTACCTCGAGATTGATGCCCGTGCATGATAATTTTTTGATTATGTATCAATTCTATTACTTATTTCTACATTAATATTTTAATATAATTTTTTTAAAATATTATAGAAAAGAATTATAAAAAATTATCTTAAAAGAAGCCTTAGTACTAGACCTGTCAATATTGGACCCGACCCGAAAACCCGATCCGAACCCGACCCGGAATTTTCGGGTTCGGGTTGACCCGAACCCGAAACGGGTCGGGTTCGGGTCCGGAAAACCGACCCGTTTGCAAAAACGGGTCGGGTTCCGGGTTGACCCGACGGTTGCGGGTAACCCGAAAACCCGTTTATTTTAAAAAAAATTCAAATTTTTCTGCCCCCGCGCTGTTTGCTGCCCGCCAGCCCAGCTCTCTGCCCGCCAGGCGCCAGCCCCGCGCTGCCCGCTGTCGCCAGGCGACGCCTGCTCCCGCGCTGCCCGCCAGGCGCAAGCCCCGCGCTGCCTGCTGTCGCCAGGCGACGCCAGCCCCCGCCCAACTGGCAAGCCATTTCCGATTTTTCGCGCAGGCGTCATTTCCGTCCGACTGTCCGAGGCGGCGAGGCCAGGCGTCCCGACTCCGAGGCAGGCCATTTCCGCGCCGTCCGACTCCCGAGGCAGACCAGTTCGGCGTTCGCAGATACACGTTCCGTCCCGAGGCGGGGAGGCCAGGCGTCGTTTCCGTGTTCCGTCCCGAGGCGCAAGGACAGGCGGCTACGCGGGTCGGGTCGGGTTGACCCGAACCCGAAGCGGGTCGAGTTCAAGTCCAGAAAATTGACCCGTTTGTAAAACCGGGTCGGGTCAACCCGAACCCGAATATTGCCGGGTCAGTTTCGGGTTCGGGTCAACCCGACCCGTAACCCGAAATTGACAGGTCTACTTAGTACTGCCCAATATCGATGTGGCTCATTCTCATGCCATCCACACGGAATAATACCAGAATCGGCCACTTCCACTTCAACATTTAAAAAGAATTAAAAACAAATTTCAAGAATATTTTCTTTATTTTTAAAAGATATATATTTTTTAGAAAAAAAAATATATTTTCCTTCATATTTTATATATTTATTTCCAGAAGTGTTTTTATTTCCCTGATAATTAATTAGAGTTATGCGAAATTAAGAAAGTTAATTTCGAATATATATATTTTATTAATTTAATTTTTCTGTTATAAAGAATTTATTCCCTTTATTTAATACTTTTTTATTATTAGATTATGTTCCATTATTTTTTATTAAATAAACTAGTTAATATAATATAAATTTTGTTTAATTTTATTCTAAATTTGAAGACGAAAATCTAACATTTTTTTAAATAATTTAATGACATACAAATCCCATTTCTTCGGAAAGAGACGACATTATCTTTCAAAAAAAAAGAAAAAAAAAACCTTACAGATTTAAAATCAATTTCAGTGACACAAAACATATTATACGATCATCAAAATATAATTTTTTCATCACAAATTATTCCGCATGTACTAATCGTTCTTACTAGATAAAAAAAAGCTTTACTTTGATCGTAGTAAGACTCATCGATTACAGGCAACAGCTTCTACACTTACAGCAATAACGCCACTTCAACAGCGCTTCACAAACCAGGAACAGATCCAACCATCTACGGATCGAAAAATAAGCCCTCAAATCTCAGCCTTAGAAGCCTTGACATCCACACCGCCCTTATCACCCGCCTCTACAATCTCCACAACCCTAGCCTCCCGCTTCTGCAGATGCTCGGCGAGCTTCGGCACGGTGATCCTCAACACTCCGCTCTCCATCTGCGCCCCGATCCGCTCAATATCGGCGTTCCACGGCAGACGGAACCGCCGCCAGAACTTGCCAGTGGGTCGCTCGGCTCGATGCCACTTCTCGCCCTCGGCCTCCTCCTCCGACCGCCGTTCGCCGCTCACACGCAGCACGCGTCCTTCCTCCACCTCGATCTTGACGTCATCGCGGCGTATGCCGGGGATGTCGAGGGAGATGATATGGGCTTTGGGAGTTTCTTTCCAATCGGCTCGGGCGAGGAGTGAGTCCGAAGCGGAGTTGGGTACGGCGAGGAGCGGCGGATCGGGGAGGCGGAAGGGATCTTCGGCGGCGAGCAGGGCGTCGAAGATGCTGCTGCGGGTGAAAGGCGTGAGGGCGTTAGGGGTAGGAAGACCTAGGGCGACTGCGAGGACGATGAAACATACGGTTGCAAATGAGGTTCTCATTGCTGGGGTGAAATGCAATCTGGATGATAGAACTGCAGGTAGATTAGCGTGAGAAGCGATTGGAATTGGTGACGATATGCTGTAGATGCCTCATTTGAAGGATTTACGGAATATTTATAGGAAGGAGGGGTAGGAAGAACTGAAGAAGGAAGGAGAAATTTCCAGAACGGGATATGAAGGCGAAGTCCTGGTTCTTCTAGTAGGTTCTGGTTTATATAATTATATGTATTCTCAACTTGCGACTAATAATTTATTTGAATATTATTATTACAGAAAGATAATTTCATGTAAAGCAGCCGTACTCATTTTTGCAATGCTATTTATTTGATTCGAATTGGATTCTAATGTAAATATAAAATTGTTGATATAAAAATTGATATATCTACAAAAGAATTGGCAACATCAGCACAAAACTCCATATAAAAATTTGAATTAAAAATTATTGAAGTTAAATTCAAGATCATATGTTTCAACAAATTTATAATTGATATAAATGTCTCAATGTGAGTGCGGGAATTGTTTGCGACTGGGAGAGTTGGAGTAGAGAAGGAATTTTAAAATAAATTATTAAACGATATTATTTGTGGTCTTCTTAACGAGCTTATTCGTGAACTTTAAATGACACTATTTGTAAACATAAACAAACTGAACAGTAAGTTGTTCAAGCTCATTTATTTAGCTATCGAATATTTATAAAAAATGTTCAAGCTCGTTCATTTATCTTATTAATGTTAGAACACCTTAGCTGATCTCGGACAGCTCAGCATTCCGCTTTGTTATTCTTGTAATCCTATAAGATCTGTACACGTGTAAAGTCATTACACAATACATTATATATATAGGCTTAGGCTATAACGGAGACTAATTAAGCAAATACAAAATAATATTTCATTTACTGTTCATCTTCTTCCTTAGATGAGTTCTTGAAACTCACAGCTCTTTGCAAGAGATTCCACAATCAAGCGAACATAAATGAGGTATTCTCGAGTCGAGCCACGAGTAGCTCGTTGAATGCTCATTCATTTGAAACCCTAATCAAAATATCAATATATATCTATATTCATACTCTATAAATTATATACAATACAATAGTCATACAAATACAACACCCCTCACTCGTGAGTATAAAACAATATCTAAATACAAAAAGAAATAAACAACAAAAAAATTTAAAAAATTATATAACTAATCAATCTCACACTCATAATCATCTTCCCTAACATAAAATCATTTAAACTACATATAATGAGTTAAAAAGCTCACACTCATAGTTTTCTAGCACGTAACAAAATTAAGAGAAAGGACAAAAAATATAATACAATAAAATAGAATATCATTAAAAAGCAGTAATAAAACAGTCCCCAACAAAGCCCAAGCCAAATAGCTGGCTCTTGCTAGAGGCGATTGTTCAATAAGGAAATTGACAGGGGGCTTATTAAAAAACTGAGGGTCATCTACCTGTGCTAATTTTTCCGCCTGACCAGTACCAACTTGAAGTCTCTGGAAGCCTCTTTACCGTCCCCTACCTCCCACCACTCGCTCGAACCTTCGCGTCATGTCTCAGATATAAGCTACTCCCATATATATAACAATCCTTCTTCCACAAAAACTTCAGCCCTAAAACGATCGACACAACTGCTAATTCCACACGAATCTTGACGCGAACTCAGCCATGATCACTCGCACCGCTTTCTTCTCCTTCAGCCTTCTCCTCTTCCTACTCTCAACCACCACCTCATCTTCCGCTTCTCTGCTCCAATCACTCGACCCGGTCACCGAACGCCTCATAGACCCGTTTCGAATCCTCGAGCACATACCCTTCGAGCTGGACCGGGCCGACTTAACGCCGGCGGTCTATCCAACCACCGCCACCGTTAACTGGAAGGAAACTCCGACCGCCCATGAGATCTCCATCGACGTCCCCGGAATGAAGAAAGATGAGCTCAAGATAGAAGTATTAGATGAGAATCGAGTCTTGCGTGTCAGCGGCGAGCGGAGGAGAGAGGAAGAGAAAAAGGGAGAAAAATGGCACCGCGTTGAACGAGCAGAGAGGTTCTGGCGTCAGTTCAGATTGCCGGAAAACGTTGAACTTGACTCCGTTACGGCCAAGTTAGAGGATGGTGTGCTTACCGTGACCCTGCCTAAGCTGGCGCTTGACAAGGTGAAGGGTCCCCGGACGGTGAACATAGTTGGCGGCGAAGTGGAGAAGGAGAGTTTGAGCGGCGGTAAAGATGTTGGAAAGAAGGTCGAGCTCTGAGCATTAGTGGAAATAGAGCGTTTCTGAATAGCCGAAGAACTGCTAATTATGTGCGTGTTATCAACGGTTGGGTGCTCTGTGTTTTGTTTTCGATGAAAGTTTGGTTATATGGCTTATCCAAATAAAAATGGGAGATTTATATGCATACCACTTTATACTACTCTATTTACATATTTAACATCTAAAATTTTAATATTACATGCATACCACTCATAGTTCATTTTCATATCAAATATGGGTGGTATAAATGAAATATATAAGTGGTATAAAGGAAACATGAGTGGTATATTTGATATTAAAATAATATAAGGTGGTATGTATGTAATATTAAGATTTTGGGTGTTAGATATGTAAATAGGATGGTATAAAGTGGTATGTATGTAAAATTCCCAATAAAAATTTAGCGCCTGTTTTGGATAGTTTTTTATTACTTTATTTTTATAATAATTTTTATTTGCTTGTTTTTTTTCTTTTTCCTTTTTAAGATTTTTTTTCTGTAATTTTTAATAGCGGCTTTAAAAAAATTAAATTTTAAATAAATTTATAATTAATTTTATAAAAAAATTATTAATTTTTAATTTATGAAAAATTTATTATCTTCTAAACTCCAACAAAGTATAATTTCTTTTTTATATAGAGAGTGCATAAGAGTGAGAAAATAGATTGCAACTTTTATAAAATATTTACCCAATTATTAAAATGTACAATAAAATTGAACTTCATATTTCTTTTAAATAATATAACTTGACACTAAAAAATGCATGAATTCATTAGTTTATATTTTTAAGATAATTATTAAATTTATAGATATGCATAATTTAAATATCTTAACATAAATTTCTATGAAATGAAATTTGTGAATGAACTATCATTTATTAGCACCTTCCCAAATATGTAATAATTGATCAAAGTGGTTGATCCATCAATATGATCAACGATATAGTTCAAGATGGTCAATGAAAAAATATTGCTTAAAGATATTCTAAATTTGTAATATATTTTGCATCATAGTAGGGTTCAAAGTTTTTTTTATTTTTATTGAAATTAGTGTAATTCTTAGATATTACATATAGCACAAATCTCATATAGTGGTTTAGTTAGTCCTTTTTTACAAAATGGGCATAATTTAAAAAATTAAATAATAATAATAAAATAGATAAAAGTGTGTGAATTAGTATGTTTATAGAAAAAAATACAAACAATTAGTAAGATATAATCATTAAATTTATATAAGGAAAATATAAGAAGACAATAATGTGTAAGGGGTTAAATTAGTCATTTTTTATGAGAAATGGGCAAAATTTTAAATTGAAGATGGAAAATTTCTAAAATTAGTTTTTTCTTCAAGAAATTATTATTTTTGGCAAATTACTCAGTCTAATATGATTCTATCTTTAATCTTTGAGCAAATTAAAATATATTAAAGCTCATTCTGATAAAAAATATATCATGTTTTAATGCAAATTTTTTCAAATCTTCATACAAAGATAATTTGAGGGGATTTTCATTCCTTTTGTTAAACGAAATACTTGTAAAATATTTTTTATAAACATGAAATATATTTGTAGAAATACCCCTCTACTTCATTTTCTACAACATAAATTTGACCAACTATATAGAAAATTTCAAGGTTGTGAAAATTGAATTAGAAGATGAACTTTAAGAAGGATAGATTCACTGTTCGACTGATCAAATCGGATGATGTAATAAATAATAATACAAAATTTTAAAATTCACAAATGTAATTTCATCAATGCTAAAAAATACAAAAATTCACAAATGCAATTTTAGTAATAGATAATATTTTTCAAAATATTCTTTAAGCAAGCACGATAAATAAATTTAAGAATCAACATCAACATCAAGCCTTTGTCCCAATATGTGGGGTCTTTGTCCCCCTATGTGGGGTCAACTACATTAATCCTTTTTCGTCATTGTGTCTGATTAAAAGTCAAATTCTCTTTTAAATCTAATAAAGAAATATCATTTTAATATTTCATAACCAAATTTTTTTAGGTCTACCTCTATCTTTCTTAACATAAGTCGAATATAATACCTCAACTTTTTTAGGCGGGTCATTGGAAGGCCTCCATTTAATGTGACCAAAACATCTAACGCGACTCTCTCTAATCTTATCTTCCACTGGAGCTACTCCAACTTTTTCCAGTATATGCTCATTTCATATCCTATCTCTAAGGGTCAAGCCACTCATTCACCTAAGCATCCTCATCTTTGAACACTTAACTTAGAATTATGCTTTTCTTTTAATGGTCAACATTCGGCACCATAAAGCATTACAGGTCTCACCACCATCTTATAAAATTTTCCCTTAAGTTTGAGAGGGACTTTTCTATCGCACAATAAGCCCGATGCAATCCTCCACTTCAACCATCCAATATGAATTTTGCTGATAATATCCCCATTTATTTCACCATCACTTTGAACAATAGAATCAAGATATTTAAAACATGTACTCTTATTGATGATTTGATCGCCCAAAGTCAAAATCCCCTCACTAGGTCTATTGCTACTAAAATTACACTCCATATATTCAGTTTTAGATCTACTCAAGCGAAAACATTTAGACTCTAAGGTTGACCTCCATAATTCAAGTTTACCTTCAACTCCATCTCTAGTCTTATTAATAAAAAGAATATCAGCAGTAAAAAGCAAGCAAATGTCTAGTGAGAACATTCATGACTAAAACAAAAAAATATGGACTTAAGGCTGATACTTGATGTAAGCCAACTGAAATAGGAAAATATTTGGTCAAACCACCTTGTGTTTGAACACAAGTAATATCTCCTGCATCCATATTTTTAATTAAACTTAAACATAAATATTAAAAATAAATTTGATTACATAATTAAACTTAAACACATGATTTAAATCACCAATCCAAAACGACACACCTTGCAGCTCCAGGTTCTTGCACGAGGTGGTCCAACCATCCCGCGGCTTCCGATTCATGCATAATTAAATTCGATGTATAGCATCAATTAATAGAGTTGAAATTTCATATCACTTGACTCTATGTCTAACATCTTCTTGTTTGTAGAAAAAATAAGATGAGAACTCCGTAGAACTGAAAATAGTTATCAATGAGTGTGATCATATTAGTCGCATTGATATCACACTCATTGATAACTAATAATAAAGTTTTTTTTCTTAAGATTATTTATATCCATTATTCGCATTCACAAACAACAAAATTTATCTAAAAATATCATATTGCTTAATTCTAATTTCAATTCATAATTATTTTGAAATCCCCATTTATCAAATCTCTGATCAGAGTGCTCTGATCCAATTTTTTTGCCAAGAAAAAAACCTTTTTTTTTTATTCTTACAGCCTTCTGTCTCATTCCATTCCAAATACATCAAAATAGCCAAAAAATACATGTACGCCCCTGCAAGAACTAAAACATGGAAAAAATGACGACTATGTCCGGCGATCTTCCTTGGCATCCATCTCTCCGGGACTCTTGCGGCGTAAATCACCTCTCTGACCCCATAGCACAACCCCATCACACGAAAATCCAACTTAGAACGAAATCACATCGGTAATAATCACAGCCCGAAAATAATTAAGAAATTAGATTCTATAAAAATCACACTGCATCGCAGTTGAAGGAGAAGAACCAATTCTTTAATTACGAAGATCAAGCGGAATAAAATCCAATCACTGCTAAAACAAAGGAAATGTTGCCTGGAGTTAATCACCTTCTTAATATCGTTCTTGATAACTAGAATCGAAGAAGCTGAGAGCGAGGGAGTGCGAGATTGAGCTTTCGAACAGGGCTCACGAGCAGGAGACGGAGACGGAGAGACGAACAGAACTAGCGAGAGAAAAAAATTTTGGGAGCGGAACAAATGTGGTCTTCGTTAGGTTATTTTTCTTATGGAACTCCTTCGCCGTTGGATCTTAAATCAACCGCTCAAATTCATAAATTTTTGAACCGCGCGGTTCTTAAGAAGGGGTGCCGGTTCGGCGGTTGTTTTTAGCCGGGCAGACGGTTTTTTCGAGTAGGGCTGCAAACAAATCGAGTTGAACTGAGTATGTGAGTGTTCATATTTGAGTACATTTATTATCAATTTGTTCAAATTTGATTCATATTTAATTCGAGCTTTATTGTTTGTATTCATATTGATTCGTTTAAATTAGTGAGTGTTCATGTTTGGTTCATGTTCGACTCATATTTGATTTGTTTAATGTTTATCGAGCTTTAAATAAACAAGTCTTAACGAGCTATGTTCATGTTCGACTCATATTTGATTCGTTTAATGTTTAGCGAGCTTTAAATAAACAAGTCTTAACGAGCTCTACTTCTAGATGTTCACTAACCTAAAAACGAGCTTTATCGAGCCTCATAACAAACAATTATATCAAACATATTCATGAACACTAGGGGTGTCAATTCGAGTTGACGTACAGGTCGGGTTCGGATCGAACCAGAGTTGACCCGGTTCTAAAAGAGTCAACCTGAACCCGACCCGTTTTTTGTAAACGGGTCGGCTATCTCAACCCGGACCCTACCTGTGCGGGTTGTCGGGTTGACACGACCCGACCCGATTAGTTAAACTCTAAGTAGCGGCAGGCGCGGCGGCAATGGCACCGCGACACGCGAGCAGCGAAGTGACTGAACTCGAGGTCCAGAACTGAAGCGGCCCTTGCCGCGCTGGCACGCGAGCGGCAAAGCTGAAGCGGGCTTAGCCGCACTTACATGCGAACCGCGAAGTCGAAGCGGGCAACAGAGGGCTGGCAGCCTTGCACGTGTCGCGATTCCCGAACTGCGAAGAGACACGATGCGACGTGACTTGATGCGTTGGGCAGCCGGGCAGTCGACGCGGGCAGACCGGGCAGAGGATTTCCGGGTCAATTTTGGGTCATTTTCGGGTTACTGGGTTAACTCGAACCCGACCCGTTTTTTGAAACCGGTCAGTTTATTGAACCCGAACTTGACCCGTTTCATAAACGGGTCGACACGAACACAGATTTTTTCGGGTTGGGTTCGGGTCGGGTTTCGGGTCGTGTCAAAATTTGACACCCCTAGCTGCAAACAAATCGAGTTGAGTTGAGTATGTGAGTGTTCATATTTGAGTTTATTTATTATCAATTTGTTCAAATTTGATTCGAGCTTTATTGTTTGTATTCATATTGATTCATTTAAATTAGTGAGTGTTCATGTTTGGTTCATGTTTGGCTCATGTTTGATTCGTTTAGTGTTTATCGAGCTTTAAATAAACAAGTCTTAACAAGCTATAAACGAGCTCTACTTCTAGATGTTCACTAACCAAAAAAACGAGTTTTATCGAGCCTCCTAACAAACAATTATATCAAACATGTTCGTGAACATATTTAACGATTTCTTCTTACTTAGCATATCTTATAATATTTAATTAATTTAAATTTTATTATTTAACAATAATTATATCATTATATTATAATAAATATAAAATATTTATATTATGTATATTTATCAATTTTATAATTAAATATTAATTAAGTTTTTATCAAACTTATTCAAAAGTTCTGAATCGAACACTAATCGAGCTTAAAGTCGAACTTGTTCACGAGCTTTAAATAATGTTGTTCATGAACATAAATGAGCCGAACACATCAGGGTTCAAGTTTGTTTTTTTATGGATTGAGTATTTAAAATATTGTTCAAGTTTGTTTGCCTAATTAATTAAAGGATCAGAAACTAGTTTTAATCGAATATAACAACAAGTAGCTCGTCGAATATATGGTTCGCTTGCATTCCTAATCCCTGGTCTAACTTGAAGTGGTTTTAAGGCTTAAGCTAACCGGCCGATCCGATCCAATTTTTAAAACCAAGGAAAAACCCTTTATTGCAAAATTAATTGGCATAGTTCAGCCAGAAATGCAAAACTTTGTGAAAACAATGATGAAAATTACATCAACATTCTTAAAATATACTGTAGACCTTCCCTTCATCATATTAAAACTCAAAATTAAACATATATAATAATATTTAACTCTACTCATAATTTCAAATTTAACGTTATAACACTATCTATTTACTATTTATTAATAAGTTTTACATTTTTCTTCCTTTGTAATTACATTAGATATGGGGGTCTTCCGACAAAAAGGGACAACTAGAAGAGCGTCGGTTGATTCCATTAAAGAATTATAAATTTATTTTCTCGTGAAAGAGTTATAAATTTAGTTTTTCTCGTGATCTCCCGTTGTCTCTCTCTTGTAATTTATAAATTATCATCACGAACTTTTCGCCAACTTTTTCATGGGATTTATAAAAATTTATATATCTTAAAATTTGTATTGTATTAATAAATACAAAAAATTAATATTAAATATATAAATTTACTAAATTTTATGATATATATATAAATTTAAAATAATATATTTGTCCGTTTTCAGATGACTTGACCAAAGTAAAAAAAATTATATATTATTTTAATTTATGGATATTTACATAGATAACACTTAAAAGTCTCTTAACTTAACACCCAAAATTATCTATTTACACACAAACTACTTAAAAACATATAAAAAAATAAAATAAAAGACTTAAAACATATTCATTGCATCTAAAATACCACTCTCGTTACTTCCCGTCAAAATCTTAACAATATCCAGCTCTATGAATGTGATTTTTTGGAAAGATTTTGGCATCAACAACCACAAAATGGAGAAGATGAAAATGCATAAAAACAATTATAGAGAAAATACTAAAAGAGAAGGTAGAGGGGTTCCACGTTAGCACTTGATTGATCGAGGAAGAGCATATGGGAGGTTGAAGACGTGTGAAGGCCACATTAGACGTCGAGTGATTATGCTCGATCAGGAGGTTCGCACGTAATGGAGAAGGAGAGTTGCATGGGCATGTGGTTCAAACGAGTTGCTCGAACAAGGTAGAGAAGATGAGTTTCGTGTGCAAGTCTGGCGAGGTTTTGACGGAGGTAGACGAAGTAATAATTTAGAAAGCCGAATAGGTTTGAAATGGTAGGTGTGTAAATAGAGAATTTTAGGTGTTAGGTGAGTAAATAAGCGATTTCTAAGTATTATGTAGGTAAAAATTCCTTTAATTTAACTAATTAAAAAAATATAAGGAGATTTGTTTTTTTGAGTTATAACTATTCTGTTCCTCCATTTATAGCCCCGAGCATCTTCTTCCCCTCAACTCCGCGCTGCTCTCTCTTTCTCTGTAGCAGAAAACCTCGCCGCGGGCCAGCCGTATTTGATTCCCAAATTAAAGTTTATGGCTTAGCGGTGGGTTTGCATCTTTGCTTTCTGAAGCCGTTGATCTTATTCCGGTTAGCTGTCGTGGCGTCCGTAGATTGCCGGAATCTGATTTTGCTGGAAGACCGGCAAAGATTACAGTTTTGTTTCTTTCTCTCTCTATCTTTTGCTGTTTCTCTTGTTTTTTTTGAGGGAGATCTAGAAATCTTGGATAGTGATGGACTTTCATCACATTCTCTTCTGTTAATGTGATTTTAACTCCGATCACTGAGTATTGGAATCTCAAAGCAACTATTTTGAGGGTTCAGGTTTGGCTCATCGTTGTGATCTTAGGGCTGATAAAGCAAATATGTATAAAAATGATTTTTTTTTTTAATTTTATATGTGGAAGTGAAATATATTTGCTGATTTTTTTAAGAAATTTCAAACCAACAGTAATTTTTAACTGTAGCAGTTGTGATTGAAGATCGCAGTGGCGGAGAGATGAAGATACAGTGCGATGCGTGCGAGAAGGCAGAGGCGGTTGTGCTCTGCTGCGCGGATGAGGCGGCGCTCTGCTGGGATTGCGACGAGAAGGTGCATGCAGCCAACAAGCTAGCCGGAAAACACCAGAGAGTACCGCTCCTCCTCCCCAGCGCCGCCTCTGCTACCTCCAAATTGCCCGGTTGTGATATCTGCCAGGTATGCAGTCTTCCCTCCTGTTCCAATGAATTAGATATTTAGTGCAGAGTTATTGTCAATTTATACCAAAGCTGTAACCTTTATTCTGCTTTCTATGTGGAAGAGAGAAATCCTATTTCTTCCGGGCATCATCATAATCATGTCGCCTTATCCCAACTATTCTTGATCGGATTTTCTCCATTTGTTCTTGCCAATGTTGCTTGATGTACTTAACTCTATTTCACACTTTTTTTTGTGAGATCTATAACTTTCTTATCTTTGATATTTCCTTTCTTTTTTAATGGGGGAATTATGAACATGACACTAAAAACTTACCTACTTATAAAACTAAGGTTTCGTTTAAGACAAATTTCTTACAGCTTTCTAGAATTGTTTTTTGAGAATTTTTTGTACTAAAAAATTGTTTTAGAAAGCAGCAAAACAACGAAGCTCAACATTCATGTCTTTTTTTTATACTACTGACCCGTGTATTTGCATATGCTGAAAGATCAAATCATTAGGAATTTGATAATAATGAGAAATATGTATTGGGATTTTACAATTTGAAAAAAAAAGCACAAATTTTGCATACAAATGTCAAAATTACATATTTCTTGAACATTTAAAGCATTTTCTGAAGCATGCTTGAGTGTAAGACATTTCACAATAGCAACCTATTTCTATGAAAATTTGATCAGCTAGGAGTTGTACTCTTAGAGAAAGGGCAAATTATTATGTGCGGACGCCGAAGGCCATTGAGAGACCAACCAGAATGCGCCATGTCACCCCCACTCGGTACTGCTCGGTACCATGCTCGGTACCGTGCTCGGTATTGCTGACGTGGCGCATTCTAGTTGATCTCCGAACGGTAAACATCGTTCGACGTCCGTGCAAAATAATTTTTCCTCAGAAAGACCGCAGAAGGCAGTTGAAAATAAATAATCTAACCAATAAGCATAGGGAGCAATCTGCCTCACCAGTCTTCTCTTTTAGAACAATTTGCACAGGATTTTAATTGTGTTGTAAATAAGTCATAAGTTAGGTAATTTGTTGGTGGGAGCAAACATCGATTAAATTTCAGGTCAATTATAAACTCCAAAATCATTAAGGTTGGTTTGAGATGACTTTTTTATTACTTTTTAAAACATCTTTCTAGTACAAAAATAAAAGCTTTAAAAAACAGTAAAAAAGCCGTCCCAAACAAAGCCTAAGTGACACCTATATAATAGTCCATTACTAATCCTAAGATTATAATTGCTTGAGAACGATTACATCCAATCAGAATCATACTCATTTAGGCTTCGTTTGGGACAGCTTTCGTCTTGCTTTCTAAAACAGCTTTCTAGTACAAAAATTTATTTAATTTGAAAAATTTGAACTAAAAAGTCGTTTTAAAAAACAGTACGAAAGCTATCTCAAATGAAACCTTCATAGGGCAAAGAAAGGTTTAGGCTTCAATTGTTATGATGCACCAATCTCCAATGAAATGTGTTTCTATTCTGTCCTAATTTAGAAGCCAAACCATATTATTGCATGCAATCATTTCCGTCGATTAAATTAAATATCTCATATTCTACACTGAAATTCAGTTTTGTTTGCATAATTAAAGCCTTTACCAGCAAAGAAAGAGATTTGATATAAATGATTTGGCTGTTTCTTATATGGAAGATCATAAAAAAGGAAGTTTAATATCCTAAAGATGTGGAAAAGTTGGCTTGTTATTTAATTATATGTAACCATGTGATCGTTCTCTTTTAGATGACAGTTGTGGTAGCCATATCTTTTTCTATATTGCTCACCTAAATTTAGCAACTTTTCATCAATCCTTATTTCTTTCTTTTAGGTCATTGATCTTCCTTTCAGTATCTTGATGCGACGTTTAGGACGGTTTTCTTACTGCTTCTTAAAGCTGTTTTTTAGTTCAAAAATCAAAATTTTTATACTAGAAAGTTGTTTCAAGAAGCAGTAAGAAAGCTGTCCCAAATGAAATTTGAATCTCCTAATTGAAATGGATTTTTATCTGAAGATAAATGCAAAGATTATTTTGTTGTATAGGTCATATAAAACTATGAGAAACATGCTAATGAGATATTATGAACCATTATGCATGTCAATGCCAACATTTGTAATGCTTTTCACCATATAATGGACGGTTGAGTGCTATGAAGTTAGAAGCCATTGAATGTGTTAATGAAATGGCTGGCTTTCCCCTATTAATGACTAAGAACCACCATGTCTTCAGGACCATCATCTCTTGATAGACAGATTGAGGAGCTCTTTTTAGTGTAGTTACCTTTCTTAAATTTCACTCACAAAATATAATCTTTTCTTGGTGTCGGTTGTTAGATTAATTATTCTGTGTGGATGCCGAACGTTGTCTGGAAGCCAACTAGAATATGCCACATCACCTTGTGTTCGGTACCGCGGCTCCGTACTGCTGAAGTGTCGCATTCTGGTTGATCTTCAGACGACGTTCTTCATCCAGTCTCCGCACAAAATAATTTCTCCGGTTGTTAACATGATTAATAGGAGATAACTAGTTCAAAATGCTTTTAACCCTTATTAAAAAAAACCTTAAGAGTTCAAAATACGCTATGCCATTTTGTTTTCTCAAACAAAAGTTTCATTTGAGACGGCTTTTTTACTGCTTTTTAAAGTAGCTTTTTAGTTCAAAATTTTATTAAACTACAAATTTCGGAACTTAAAACTGTTTTAAAAACAGTAAGAAAGTCGTCCCAAACAAATCCAAAGATTTTACAATTTACTATAAAAGTTTTTCATTGTTCTCAACAGCTTTAGGCTTCGTTTGGGACAACTTCTGTATTGCTTTTTAAAATGTCTCTCTAATACAAAAATTTCAAATTAAAAAAACTTCTATTCTAGAAAGTTGTCGAAAAGAAAGTCGTCCCAAACTAAGACTTAATTACGATATGAATTTATTTATTTATTTATTTATTTTGCGATTTTGCAGGAAAAAGCTGGTTATTTTTTCTGCTTGGAGGATCGAGCTTTGCTCTGCAGGCATTGCGATCTAACAATACACTCAGCAAGCCCTTTTGTATCCCACCATCAGAGATTCCTAATCACTGGTGCGAGGGTTGCTCTTCAACACTATCTCACAAACAACAGTAGCAGCAACAGAAGCAGTGCCGCAGTGAATGAATTTAGTAACAGCAGCGGAAGTATTGGCAATAGTAGTAATCCTGCTGGCTCTCTGGCCTCAACAAGTCTGGCTGTGGAGAAGACTGAGGGCTTTAAGCCTAACTGGCCATGGAATGAGATATTTGAGGGTCCTGATTTTGATCATTGCTAAGCGTTGATGTGTTCTTCTCTTTTTTATGTAACAGATGGGAATATATTATAGGATCTTGGTATCAACATCTCATATAGAAACTGTATCAGAATGGACTATTTTATGTAAAATCTGTAATGCTCTTGAAAATATGAAATAATTTGATAATAAGTAGAAGACGATGAAGTCCATGTCTTCTATTTTCATAAATTCGAATGTATTTTTACTGTGGGATATGTATTGCTTATTCAAAAGAATTTTGCATCCAGATTTTGTTATATGTGAAACGTTTGAATTTTAGGCTTCGTTTGGAATAGCTTCTCTGTTGCTTTCTAAAACTATTTTTTTAGTACAAAAATTTTTTGAATTAAAAAATTTTGTAATAAAAAATAATTTTATAAAATAACAAAAAATTATCCAAAACTTAAAGCTGTTAATAAATAAGAGAGTCAATTCATTATAAATGGTATGGATATATAAGAAAAAAAAGAGAGATTTAAAGAAATAATTAGTAAAATTTCACTTCTTCATTGGTTGCATGTCACTCAAAAATTATATCTAAGGCTTGTATGGATGATTTTCTTACTGCTTTATTTTTCAAATTATAACTATAATGTTGGTTTAACCACTGCTTTTTATTACTTTGTAAAAAAAAAATGCAATTAAAAAATTTGGAATAATTTGGAGTAATTTGAATGAGTCTAAAAGATATACAAAATTAATATTTTGTTTATTTGCTTGTTTTAAATAAAATAATAAAATAAATATAATATAAAGTCCAACATTGATTGATAACGAACCATTACGAAGACAAAGACGGTTGGTGATTGTGGGCAATGGCTGTTGTTGACGAACTTTTATTCTATCCAGTGAACGTACGCAGAGGAAAGTTCAGTTTTAGGCAAAAAAGCGCCTGTACGGTACAGACGCTTTTTTGCCTAAAACCAAACCTTCCTCTACGTACATTCACTAGATAGAATAAAAATTTGTTGTTGGCAGGCAGGCAAGCGATACAAATTGTTAAAATGACATAATTTACAATCAGATATAACAAAACATCAAAATTAAACTATTATATAAATTTCAAATATTTTAAAATTTAACTTTGAATATCTTTTAATTAAAATTAAAGGTCAATATTTTTAAAATATTTGTATTTGAAATATTTTATATGCCTTTTACTTTAAACCAACCAATCCTAAATCTTCAATATGACAACCAATAGTAATTGACACTACACATTGCAAATATTACAAAAAAAAGTAAATGTTTTAAAAACATGGAAAAATCAAAATAATGATAAAATCTAAACATATAGATTTTTTTTTTTTTTTTTTAACAAAAATTTTATTAAAGACAAATCAGTACAGATATAGAAATTAAAGAAACAACACGACAAGAAAACGAATTAAAATACAAGGTACGAGGGCTCAATTAAAGGCCGAGACTTTCAGCTTCCCTTAAGTCAAGCTCAGACCATCCAATTTGATGAAGAATCACGCGAGGCAGCCAACCCAAACCATCATCAATGGTTGCCACAAGCCAGCTGAAAGAGAAGCGAGCCCCAGCTACATCATTGCCCGGCCAAATGAAAACCAACCGAAGAGGTCCCAAATAATGCAACATCATCAAGCAACAATAAATAAAGGCAACCACCCGCACCAAAGAACCCAGTCCAACCACAGCAAAAACCCAAAAAACCATCCAATCGAGCCACAATATAACCACAGCCATTATCGACCCCGTCTACCCCTATCACGAGCCTTACCACGAGAGGAACGTATAAGGAGATTAGTTAACCAAAACTCTAATATTTATATAACGCAATAACCAAGCATTTAAATAGTCCATTCTTATATCTCAGTAGTTGGAAAATTTATTCTGTGCGGACACTAGCAGCATTCGGAGACCAATCAGAACGCGCCACATCATTTTTTTTTTGCTCGGTACCACTATTTGTCAGGTGACGTGGCGTGTTCTAATTGGTCTCCAAACCATCCGGTGTCTGTACAAAATAATTTCTCCAGTAGTTGACACTCTAATGTAACCACATCATTGGGCGAGCTCAGCGCAACAAGGCCTTGTTCTGCTGAACCCTATAATGGGACTGTTCCCTAATTGGATGATTAGTTTCTCCAATTTCTTTATGATGAAAAGACCACATCTATTTTCTTGCAAGGCAATACAAAAAACCTAAACAGTTCTATGCTGTGGAATTCATAAGCAGCAATTTCCTGATTCTAGAAAGTATCAACACACAGGCAAAGATGGTTGCAGTTAACAGGGCATGCAAATAGCTATACAAGAAGAAAATTTGATGTTTCTTGCAGCAGATTATTTAGAAAGATAAGTAATAAACCACTCGAAAAAGTTCACAGTTTTCTCCACACTAGAGACTCGGAAAGAAACAGATTGAGCAGTAGCTCCAAGACATCAGGTGCTCTTTCAGGTATACCTGCACAGAGCAATCGCAATATTTTAAGAATCTATAAGCTTGATTCAGAGAATTTAATCTATGGATTCGCTTAAGTTGGAAAAAGAACAAGCTGTGAAAACAGACAATCACTTGAAAAGTAGAAAATAATATAAGCATATAATGCTATTTGTCGATTTGATTACTGACTCCGGATTTAGGCTTCATTTGAGATGGCTTTCTTACTGCTTCTTAAAACAATTTTTTAGTACAAAAATAAAAAAAATTGAGCTAGAAAGCTACTTTAAAAAGCAGTAAGAAAGCCGTCCTAAATGAAGCCTTAATAAAAAGAAATATATCGTTTTGTCATCAAAATGTGTATCTTAGGACAATTAAGTTATTTAAGAGAAACTAATTTACCAAATCAATAAACTATTTTGCCAAGATTTTGAAGAACGGCAGGAAAATATATATCTCAGATTTTGATGGCCGCATAAATGATTGTTCGCGCAGGAAAATACAGAATATGTGAGTGCTTTTTTTTCAATGAATGGTGTGTTTTTACTTGCATGTTCCATAGAACATTGCACCATTTCCCTCCTAAGAAATTATACTAATTCATGAATTATTATAAATCGAGGGATTCTCCAGTAAAGACTACACACAAAGGATCAAACAACATGATCACTTTACCCGATGCTTATACACTTCAATCGATGCTACTTTTCATGAGGCCAATCCTATCTATTATCCCCCATCTTTTATACCTTCCTAACAAGTTACTCTTCCTCCATAAGTTGAGATGTCCACGACTACCCCTCTAAAGATTTAAATATGAAGAACTCAACCACTGTCCACAAAATCCTCAGCTAACTTGCCAAATTGGACTTAGCATCTTCTTGCTAATGAGCTCTCTGATCAAAAATTTGTGGTATGCCCTGGGACAAGCCTTCCTGCATGCGTTCTCACCATTGTATTAGAGCTTTATGCTCTTTTAATGTTGTCTTGACTTAGGGTGTAGGGTGAAGGTCAATCAAGCGGGCTTGCAATCTGGCTCAACTTGTTAATGAGCTTGCGGGTCAAACTCATGAAGTCACCAGCTCAAGTTTGAGTTTAATGTAGCTTGGATCATCGACTCATCGAGCTACTAATTTAGTTTCCTAATTGGCATAATCATAGGTCCGCCCCCACTTTGATATGGCCTGAACTCAAACTGCAATCTTTTATTTTTCTATTCACGAAAGGCAGAATGCAGAAAGCCTAGCAAAATGTGAAACACCAGTTTCATCATTCCCCACTAACTCCTCTCAAACTCATCATTTCCCGTATCACAACAAGACAAAACTATCTTAACACTAAAATTTTTTAGGATTAAATTCATGATCATCTGAACTTAGATTTCAAAAAGTTACAGTTGAACTAAAAGTTTCAACAAGACGAGAACCCAATGACACCAAAGGTGTCCAATTTGAGTCAAATTGAACCTAAATCAAATACTTGAAGCCAATTTTTAAAATTGTGTATTCAGGTATTGGGGCGCTTTTCATTCGTGAGGCGAGGCGTAAGCCTCAAGGAGTTTTGAGGCGTAAGCCTCAATATCAAAAGATTTCGTAAATATAAAATGATAAATTTTTTATATACAAATGAGTGAATAATATAAAACATAAAAAAAACATAAGATATGAAGTGAAATCAAAATATCTCATTAATAAGACAACATGAAATATAGTTCAACTCAAAATTCTATATTTCCCAAATCCCAGTATTCTTTTCATTAACATATAATTCCAATTTCCAAAAATAAATATCAATGACATATCACATAAGAACTCATAAGTCATCAGCACTGTCATCACTAAGGGGTTCTTCATTTGAATCATCATTATGGTGAACTGCTCTCTCCCCTTCCTCCATTCTTATAGAGTCCAATGTCGGGCATTTACTTCAAGATTTATGTAAGTTTTAATATATATAGCGTGAAGCGTAAGCCTCATGCCAGTGAGGCGAGGCGGGCCTCAACCAAGTTGAGGCGCAAGCCAAAAAAAAAAAAAAAAAAACTCGAGGCGTAAGCATCGAGGTGTTTTTTACTTGAATTGCGCAAAGGCGGCCTCAAGGCGAGCCTCATATTGCGTAATTTTAAACCATGCTTGAAGCATATTTGGAATGTTTGAGACATTAATTATACTATCAAATGATTTTCTAATTTTGCATATTTATAGTCAAATCGAGCAACTCGATGAAATGAATCAATGAGCCCAAATTCATCTAATTTCAAGAACTTTGAGGAACTTAAATGTTAAATAAAATGATTCAATATGTATCATATGATAAAGTGTTACGAATTATAAGCTAGATTTACAAAAATATCAATCTCAAAATAATATAAATAGACTATGTTCTCCACATGAAGGGGGCCTACACTGGAGTTTGAAGAGAACTCATTGATTTGAAGAACTCCAGAGCTATACCAAACATTTGACACCGACGATTACGACTAGCCACTACCATCATCTAATTGCTATTCTCAGACCGCCATCACCATCATCTAGCCATTGTAGCCCCACCAACATTATTTAACCACAATTACTGGCTATCATAATCTATTCACCATCATTTGATCGCCATCTTTCGACCGCCATCATCCTATGACCGTCATTTCATTGCATCCTTTGACTTTCATCATCATCCCTCCACTATTTCTCCCATAATTTCTACAACTAAGGGAGACCAAGCGAATGTTCTCAACTTTGTAATCTTGTCTGCTCTAATTGTGGAGAGTAGCGAAATTCAAGAACTT